TGGAACGCGGTGGAGCCGGCGCTGAGGCAGCAGCTGATGGTGAAAATGGAGGATGGTGAATTTTGGTAAGCAAAGGGGGATTAAAAATAATAATAAAAAAACCCTTTTCCTGACCATTTTGCACCGGGAAAAGAGGGAAAACTTCCGCTCCCGAACTTCGGCGCCACCTCTTCCTCCAGGATGTCCTTCCGGGATTTCCTGCGGGAATTCCCCCGCCTGGAGATCTGTAACCTCACCCCGGACGCCCTCCAGTCCCGCAAATTCCGCAAGTGGAACACGCGGCTCTACGACGGGACGTGGCGGCGCGGCAGCACGGCCGGCGGTTGTCGGAACTACCCCGGTAGGCGCCGCCGGGGAGGAGTTTGGCCTCGAAAACGCTGGTTTTGGCATCGATGGAACCTCTTTTGGCTCTTTTTTTGTTCGGTTCCCGCAGCCACTTTCTGGATAAACCCGCAGTTCAAGATCCAGCTGGAGGAGACGGACGACGACGGGGATGAGCGCGGCGGGCGCGAGCCCGGCTGCAGCTTCCTGCTGGCGCTGATGCAGAAGCACCGGCGCCGCGAGCGCCGCTACGGCAAGGACATGGAGGCCTCCGACGAGGTACCGGCAGCCCCCGGCGTCGCCTGGCGTCCGTCAGCGTTGCCCGGCGTCAACCGGCGTCGCCACGCGCCCTCACCTCTCCTCTCCTCTCCCTACAGGTCCCTCCCGAGGTGAGTACAACTCGCCGGCGGTGAGAATATCACCGTAACGGTGAACCAGGTATTTTTGGGGTGATTTTGGGTGTGGGTCTTTTTTTTTTATTATTTTATTTTTAACTAAAAATTCCGGCAGTACGTGGGGAAATCGGGCGTCCACCTGAAGCGGGATTTCTTCCTGGCCAACGCCTCGCGCGCCCGCTCGGAGCAGTTCATCAACCTGCGGGAGGTGAGCACCCGGTTCCGGCTGCCGCCGGGGGAGTACATCGTGGTGCCCTCCACCTTCGAGCCCAACAAGGAAGGAGACTTCGTGCTCCGCGTCTTCTCCGAGAAGAAAGCCGGCACCGAGTAAGAGACGCCTCGTTAGCGCTAACGAGCCCCGGCGACTCTCGAGGCCGAACTCTCCTTTATTATCTCCGCAGGGAAATGGATGACAAGATCCAAGCGACGCTCCCGGATGAGGTGGGTGGCGTGGGCACCGCCGTAGGGTGCCGAGGCGTCGCCTTTTTACCCAAAAAGCCATTTTTTTCCCCCCTCAGAAGGTGCTCTCCGAAAGCCAAATCGACGACAACTTCAAGCAGCTCTTCAAGCAGCTGGCAGGGGCGGTAAGTGGGGCGCCGGCACCGGTGACGCCGGCGGCGCGGGGCTGCTGGAGAACACCCCGTCTTCTCCCTCCCGCAGGACATGGAGATCAGCGTCACGGAGCTTCAGACCATCCTCAACCGGATCATCGGCAAACGTGAGGATTTTGGGGTTCACCGCCCCCCCCAAAAAACCCCCCGACGACCCTCCTTGACCGTCCCTCGATGCGTTACCGCGAATAACGACCGGATTCGTTGCAGATAAAGATCTCCGGACCAAAGGCTTCAGCACTGAGTCCTGCCGCAGCATGGTCAACCTCATGGATGTATCCTCCGCCGCCGGCGATGGGGTTTTTTTGGGGGGGACACACAGGACACGACACGACACCCCCAACTGCCCCCCTAACACCCCCATTTTCCTTAACCCCCTTCCGCCCC